ATCGGTTGCTCATTCGTGAATCCGAAAGCGGTGTAAAGGACGGAAAGCTTATAAAGCAGAGCAAATACAGCAAAATTAATGAAAAGATAGGCCTAAAAACAGACTGAGAACGATTTTGAGCGTGCAATCTTACCTCAGAAATGACCAAGTTTATTACGTTGTGGCTCAATTTCCAATGTCCCAACTCATGACCAATAACTGCCACTACTTCGTCATCTTTCATACCGAGAATTCTGTTATCCGCCTCAATATTTTTATCTTTCGTACTCTAAAGCACAGCACATTATCAAGCAGTCTCACAAATCTCGTTAAAATAATGCCTAGACCGAGCAATACAGATTAGACACGACAAAATGCCTACAGCAGGACAAGTTAATCCTAAACATTTTCTGACATCCTGTTACCGCATCACTGCCAACTGAATACGGTTAGCTAGTTACTTCCAATACTAGTATCACACTTCAATTAACATACGACCAGAAGCGTCTATTTCAATTCTCAAAGTTTACTTACCGCCATTTTAATGCAAAATCAAAAATAAATAACATGAGAAATAAACAGAACGAGCATAAAAAGACAAGCTGGAACCGAAGGTGGATAGATGGCCCCAAATTTCTGGCACGGGGTACATCAGCAACGTAAAGCTGCACTGAAAAAATTATGCGTGTGGTCATAGTTAGCTACGCATCAAATTATGCCTATGACCAGAACATTTAAGATATTTATCTGGTACTGAACAAGCGCTAATGTGATTTTCATTTCCATATATCATAATCTTCCTGTCGCTACAAATATGCGCAACGAACGGACAGCTTTTTCCTTAGCTCACCGCTTCTATTCAGTGAGTATAGTTAATTACCAGCTGCATTACGTTCAGTAAATTATTTTTACCAGCCTTACTGCAGACCGAGAATGCGATGAAAATGTCTGTGGCGGCGATTTTACAAGCTGCTGAAATGCACCTGTGCAGCAGCATGAACGAGAAGTTACAGAACCTTTCCACCGGTCTAGAAGTGACGACCATTTCACCAATTCACTGATAAATAGTGTGTTAAATTTTAGGCCATCATCGTCACGATCTACAAATTTCGTGCAAGGGATGTTAAGCATTTTTTACTACTGAACCTTTTAAATGTTAATTATGCAGTGAAAGAACCGCCAGTTACCAATTACGGATGGCCATACAATTAGCAGGTATGGCAAATGTGACATTCCGTGCATGAAACACTCGCTAGTATATTTTTCCACCAATGATCCATCAGATCGTTCAACAACTTACTGTGATGAAGCCACCACTACATATCTGTTCAATTTTTCTCATGACCAATCATTACTGCGCAGTTACAGAAAACAAAAATATGTAAACAAAAACATAATCAGCGAAAAGCTGACAACAGACTGACTGCGACTACAATACACGATCGCTTTGACGGTAGAGAGCAGTTTTCGTTAAACGTGACTTACATTTACAGGCACTGTTCCTACCTACGACACAGCAGGTTCGCGACAGACGCCTCGTAAATGTAGGAATAACGTTTTAAATTACAGATTAAATTCCTGAATTAAAGATGAGGGAGATGCCACAGACTACTTTTCCATACTAAAGGTAAGCAGATATTCAGGCAATTCATATTCACGTATTTATAATTTAAGAAACACAAAAAACATTACGTTACAAGTGCCATGCTGGCGTTGTTACTTCAACGTTGTTGTTAAAGCGTCCATGCATTAAATGGTGTTGTGTCGTGAGATGAGAATCGACTGTAATTTCCTTTCGTGACCTTTCAGGTGAAAAACAGAAAGCTTACCGTCTCCGTGCAAGGAAACCAATTTCAGGCAAATTCATTTATTTACTTATTACGGATTAACAACTAATTCTCACTTCCATCAGCGAAAAAAACCAACACAGACTGTTCACAGGATTTTCACACAGCATAAATGAGGCGAATATATTAACATATCGTTGAGACGCAATTTCCCCTGGATATGCAGTAGACCATAGAAAATTAGAAAATGCAGAGACGCGTGTAAACTCAAAGAATGAAACGTGCTGTTTACGAATTTAACAATAAGCTACTAAAACCCGTATTCACGTATAGTTCGTTTGAAAGCTGTTTAGCCTGAGATAATAAAATCATTACAAGGCAAAAGAACGTGTACCTCGTTTGCCGTATTTATCACCTGTCCACCAGTATCCGTCTTCTTGTCTGATTCCAATGATGTCAGTGGTCTACTTTCTACAAGCGTGTCGTATAGCACGATGCGTTTATTCTTCCAAAAGCCGAACAAGTACGCGTTGCTATGCGATGAACGTTTCGAACCTTCAACGAAAGGCATCGGTCAAGACTGCACGAAGGAACAGAACGGCTGCTGCCCGGTTACCTTCAACTATGAATATCTTCTTCAGGGGATACTGAACGCTGTCGGCAAGTCGCTCGATTTTTGACTTCAATTCCCCGTCAGCCAGCAGTTCGTATTTGTCAAACAATGGCGCAATGAATTCTGGATAAATCGTGAGAATGACCTAAAATTTTTGGCTACGCAAGCGCAAACATCGTTGTCTCCTATATGCACGCCTACTGGGCTGTCAATGATAGAAACGGAAAAATAAAACTCGAACCGCGATCAATTTCAACATACAACGTGGTGCTGGTAGTTCCTTGTACAGTGAAGTTCGTCCATAAGTATCACTACTTTGTGATGAAAGAGCAATCGAAAAAGTTCAAGCAAGTTTCGCGTGGCGTACACAAAGAAACAAACAGTTTAAAACAAGCAAACTTATTAATGTTTTAAGTGAATTTTAACATCTCTTTAAGCGAAAATTGCTGATAAATTAAAGCCGGAAGGCATAAAAACCAAGAGTAAAGACAATAACGAAACTGTCCATTATCAGGGCTGAGCGAAAACATGACAAAAACGACTTATGTACAACAGTCAACTTAAAGTACATTAAATCAAACTTGATCAAATAGGTCAAAACAAGAAAATGATGAAACACTTTCATAGTTCGTAATTTCTCTTCCACTGAGGTATCAGCAGAATTAGGAGGCCCTTTCAAGGGTATGAATCTTCCAGAAATCAAACAAGCTCAAAGGTCTGGATTCCAAAACAGGACTACACCAGATTTCACCCCTATACTCAACTCACGATAGGACTGCCCCTAGAAGGCTGCTATGGCGCTGCACAAAGATATCACTTTGAAATTCTCACCTCTGCTATGCAGATCAAGCAGCGCCAAGTTACAGCAACTGTAATCTCTCGATTTGGAAAGAAAATCAGCTTAAATAAAGCGAAATAATGGATAACCGTATTCTGAACGTTGCTAAATTTCGTCACGTCAGCGTTCATCTGAAAAAAACTATATTTCGTTGAATTTTTCATTGATCGCACTCGCAGTCTGTACCATATCGCACTACCGCTTAGTCCCTTTTGCACAATCATAGACGGTTCAGTTTAATATTAGAGCACCACCGATCGCAATTAAGCATGATATCTGGTAATCAGTTCTATCGAACCACCTGATACGCGACTTCAATCCGCAGGCACTTCCACAGAATTTAAGCCATGAACGGGTTTGCAAATGGTTTGCAATGACGCGAAATCTAAGACCTACTGTCAAACAAGAATGACCAGATCGTTAAACTCAGGGGCCTTTAAGATTTCACTCTTACCAAGAAACATCACAACTCCAACATTACGTAGCGATACTTACGAATAAAACGGCAGACGCGAAAAGAAACACGTAGACAAAGAAATAGTCGCCTCCCTTCTGGATGATCCAGATAACACCGGCAACAACTATCAGTAGAAGGGCCAACGACACAACGAACTTCTTCGCCTGATCCCTGAGGAAGAATGACAGAGTCTGAAATCAGACAGACAGAGTTACACAAGCACAGAGAGAAAAATTACACGCGATTCAAAATTAGCGAAACTAAGACAAACTATTTTTGTAACATAACTACACAGCTAACCGCTGCATACAGAAACTAGTATATACATAATGGACCAATATCGCCTTTCATGTTTAGTTCAATTGTTTCATAATAGCTCAAAATGTTTATCAAAACCGAATTATTATTCCAACTAAAGCAAACAACACTCACGTTACTCCGACTATGCCAACATCAGAGTCTTGTACGCAGAACAGCCGTGATGGTTTGAGGCCGAAGTGCAACTTGCTTCAAGATAAACAACGACGGTGATTAGCATGGAATGAGGTTTCATAAACAATTTTACTTAAAAATTACATGAAGGCAACACTTAATGCTACGAATGAAAAGGTGAAGAACGAAATGAGCCAAAACAGGTGGAATTAAAAAAATTAAGAAGTATTCAGTTGGTCTTTAAGGAATGCCGTTTAAGTTTCTGTCAAAGACGACAGCGATTTCATAGCACTTCTGCAGTGAACAACAAGAAATCTGCAGAACAAGAATCAGCTCTTGAAACAAAAGTAAAACTAGACCATAAATGAATAAAGTAATATTATAGAAAATGCTAAGAAAGTTTGCAAATGTTTAGGCGACTAATCAGAAAGAAGCACTGGGGTATCATTCCTCAAAGAAAGCATGGTGAAATCATGG